GTAGAGGATTGGAACCCTAATCTCTGCTAGTCCTAGTTCAGGGGTCGGCAACCTTGGCTCTTTTATGACTCGTGGACTTCAACTCCCAGAATTCCTGAGCCAGCATGGGGGAACTATGGCCCCTTCATGACTTGCGGACTTCAACTCCCAGAATTCCTCAGCCAGCATGGCTCACCTTGGAAACCTCTGCCTTTCCCCTCAGCATGGCTGGCTCAGGAATTCTGAGAGTTGAAGTCCACGAGTCATAAAAGAGCCACGGTTGCCTACCCCTGTCCTAATCTGATACTCTACATTATACTATTTATTTAGTGGGGATCCGTCCTCTGCCTCCCCCTCTCTCCCTTGGAATAGTGGTGTATCCCTTACAAGCAAGAGCAAAGAAGTCATTTTCCAATAGGAAAAAAAAAGGCTTGAGAGGGTAATTTAAAAGTAACATGCTTTTAAGCACACTTTCGGAAAGTAATCACCACTTACAGTTATTGAAAGCATCTTTTGAAGTCACGTTTCCTCCACCACCACCACCCCAAAAAAACCCCTTCAAGCATTAATTACCAGCCCTCCCTCTCCACAACGCTAAGTGGGCTCCCTTTTAATTGAAGCTGTAAATGACTTTGCTCAGAGTTGCACTGCTGCATAATCAGGGGAAGATGGACGGAAGGCCAGAATCTCAGCAAGCCAGAATCTGGATCCCCGAGCTGCGATGGGACTCGCTTTTGTCAGTTTCTGTCAGCCATTTGAAGAAAGAAAGAAAAATAATAATCAGTCGGCAATGTAGGATAACCTCAGAGCAAATAGACCTTGTTAACCTTGATTACCTGGGGGAGGCAGGTCCTTCTCCAGCTGTCTCTTTATTAATAAGGCCTCTGCCGCTGACAGCGACTTTCAGCCGTTTGATGATGAACCGGAGCACCAAGCGCAGAAAGTCGTAGGAGGCCCAGCACCTTCCTGGGCGCTGTAATAATTGCGTGTAGAAATGCGTCGTCGGAGGGCTCACTAATCTCTCGTCCTGTTCTGTGTTTTTCATGCAAATTCAGGGCACAGCTCTCCTCAGACTGAGCCTGCAGAAGAGCACAATGTAATTAATGGCATAATTACCCTCTGAGAGCCGTTTCAAGAGGGCCATGAATGGCAGAGCAAGGGCAGGGCTCAGCCACCTGCACAGGAGCAGATTAAGCCTTCTCCCGGAGGGCTTCAGTCACCGTCACATCATTGTAGCTGCATGGAAAATTCTGAGTGCTTTAAGAGCCTTCAGGAACGTGTTAACGGAGGACCCTGGACAATATGGGGCTGGCAGTGGGGCAGGGACCCCAGCATTCTGGGCAAGGAGGAGAACCAGCAGGAGAGGCTTCAGGCTACCTCCTGGAGGCAGGTATGGGACTTTAGCCCGCTGTCTGCCCCAGACAGGAAACGGCTCCCTTTCAGCTTTAGATCTGGACTGAGGCTGAGAAATCAAAACAGAAGAGAAATTGAGTGCCACGTTGCAAGCATACAGAAGAGAGCATCGTGCAAAACTTCAGACCAAGTCTGATGGGATTTAACCCAGAGGGGCAACAAGTCTCTGTCACCTTTGTGGCTCTTGCTTGCTTGCTTGGTTTAATTAAATTATATAGTTGCCCATTTCAGCAACAACTCTGGGTGACAAACAGTGATTAAAAAATAAAATCAGATTCAGTACAATCATTAAACTACACAGCAACCAAGAAAACCAACAATCACCTTCGTTTCCTTCATGCACCTGGGGCTACAGGCCAGGCCAAGAGATGGGTCTTCAGGAGCTCACAGAAGGCCAGCCAAATTGGCCATCCTGATATCCAGTGGAAGAACGTTCTCAAGGGAGGGGTCCTCAGCAGAAAAGGCCCTCTTTCTGGACCCAGAGTTGCCCCCATCACATTCTGCAGCAGTTGAAGTTTCCAAATACTCTTCAAAGGTAGCTCCATGTCTACTGTTTTGCAGTAGTCCAGATGAGAGATCCCAAGGAAAATAGGCTGACCCCTGTTTTCTGTGGCAATCACTCAAGTGTTGGAAGACTCTTGTCATATTACCCCTAGTCCTTTTCTTCGTTAGACTAGACATACCTATTTCCCTCAATTGTTCATTGTATGATTTAGCCTCCAAATCCCTTATCATCTTTGTTGCTCTTCTCTTTACTTTTTCTCAGCACCTTGTTTGTATTGTGGTAAACCAGAACTGGATGTAGTATTCCAAGTGTGGCCTCACTAGTGCAGTATAAAGCTATATTATCTCTTCTCATGATCTTGATGCTGTCCCTCTGTTGATGCATCCTAGGACTCCACTGGCTTTTTTGGCATTTGCAGCACATTGCTGGCTTATACTTAACTGGTGATCCACTAGGACACCTAGATCTCTCTCACAGTTACTATTTTTGATCCAGGTACCACTTATTCTATATCTGTGCATTTGACTTTTCCTGCCTACTACGTGTGGGACCTTAGTTTACTCACCACCAAATTGCAACTTGTTGAATAGGACGCAACGCTCAAGTTTGTCAAGATCCTTCTGACTCTTGGGTTTATCTCCTAAAGTATTGGCAATTCTCCCACCCCGATGACAACTGCAAAATTGATGAGTTCCTATTTTATCCCCTCATCTATATCATTCATGAAGATGTTGAAGAGCTGGGCCTAAGACAGAGCCTTGAGGTACCCCCACTGCATGTTTCCCTCTGTGTAGATGTGGTTCCATTAAGGACTACACATTGAGTGTGGTTTGTCAGCCAACTGCGAATCCTTCTGGTGGTGATGCTATCTATCCCACCTTGCACTGTCTTACCAAGAAGTAGGCTGTGGTCTACTTTGTCTGGCTCAGGAATTCTGGGAGTTGAAGTCCACGAGTCATAAAAGAGCCAAGGTTGCCTACCCCTGCACTAAGTTAATCACTTTGTCAAAGAAAGCAGTAAGGTTTGTCTGGCATGATCTATTTTTAACAGACCGTTAGAAATCAAAGGAGTGCAGCCTTTTCCTGTTTCAGGTACTGGTGTACCAAGAACATGCAGGATTCGCTTTAATCACTAAGGTCCAGTCAGTGCATGGATTCAACTAACCTTCTTTCCTGCCCCTTGAACATAGGACTTTTAATGCATCTCAAGATCATGAGGTGTGTAAATCAAGACAGCTTTAACCATTAGAATAATTACAACCATCATTACTCATCCCTGCTCCTCCTCCTTCTATATTTTTGTCTTGCAATCTTCCTAGCAAGAAGATGTGTGCATTAAAGAAGAAATTAAAGAATCTTAGGGGCCCTGTTGGTAATTTGTTTCAGTTTTTAATCCAATCTGTTCCCCCCCCCCTTTCCTGGAATGTTATGGCTAGTACCAGAATACTTTTCTACACAAATATTGGAGCAGTTTGGGATGGGAAATTTGCCATGTTGATAACAAAGCTTCAGGCTAACCGCTGTGCCTCGCCTGTGATTCTCATCTTCTCAGAAACGTAAACCCTTTGTGTTACCAAAAGCTTAAAAGTGTGTCTGAAAATGAAACCCCTCTGGGCAAGAGAACAGAAGCTCTGCTCCACTTCACCATGTTTCTTACACACTGCCGGATTCCTCGTAGGTACAATGGATTGTGAGGCTGCTCAAACCTCAAACTTCAGTGAGGTAACTGAAAAAGGATGCGCAGGATTTGTTCCTTGCTCATTAACCCCCCCCCCCTTTTCAACACATTTGAGGAGGAAGGTTTGCCATTGTTTTGCTCTGACCAGCCACACTCAACATGCAGTCCTCAATGGAACTACATCTACATGGAGGGAAGCGCACAGTTGGGTGCCCCAAGATTCATCAAGATGCTGATGATATCCAGTTATACATCTCTCTATTCCATATGGGCAAGTGATGCTGTTCAGGTGTTTATTTCAGTGCCTGAAGCTGTAGGGGCCTGAATGGGAAGAAACCGGCTGTGCAAGATGGAGTAATTGTGGAGTGCTGGCTAGAAATAGTAAGAGGAAACAAAAAGGACAAAAAAAGGAAAAAAACAGAAAAGGTAGAAGTGACTCCAAGTTTCTTTGCAAGAAGCACAGACTGATTCAATATTTCCCCACCCCCTATAATACTATGCACTGGAGGCTTTCAAAAAGAGACTGAACAGCCATTTATCTGAAGTGATGTAGGGCAAGGGTGTCAAATTGCCGGCCCGTGGGCCGGACGCATCACGTGGAAGCCACGCCCACCCCATTGCCGGCATTGGCAAAATCGGCCCGATACGATGCGCGATGTCATGTGACATCGCGAGTTTGACATGCCTGCTGTAAGGCCTCCTACTCAAGCGGGGTTGGACTAGAAGACCTCCAAGGTCCCTTCCAACTCTATTGTTCTATGTTCTGTTCCTTGCTCATCATCCTCCTGTTTTAGCATAACAGTTTATCCCATCACTTGTATGCAGATGATGTGGTTACCTGGTCCATTTTTGAGATAGGAATGAGAAGAGCATTAAACAAACATTTTTCTGCCTAAAAGAACAATTATTAAAAATATTTAAAAAATTATCTTTGCTCATCATCCCCATAAAATCCATAAGTGAGACATTAACGGGACTCCTTCTTATTGGACTAGCGCAACTCTGCAGCTGCTCTGAGACTTTCATTTTCATTCAAAGGGAGCTCTCAGCACATCTCTGCACCGTGCAAGGTGTCCCTCAGCTTCTCTATGATACTTGAATCTGCCCTCTTGTCAGGTTCAATATTCTTGAAGTTGTTTAGTTTATTAAAGCCATTGTTGCAGTCCCAAATTATATTAAGGATGCTGTTTAACTTTTAGAGATCGGTTTAGTTTCTGTAGAGGCTGAAGCTTGATTTTGACTCATCAGCTTTTGGTTAAAGTTAATCTTCTTCCCTACAGGCCTGATCCCCTTGGTCCTCAAGAACCATTTTAAATCACCGCGGCTTAAGAAAGCTAAATCCACTTATTGGGTTTTTCAATGAAGAGTCTCTGCTTCTTAGGCTTTGAAAATGCCAAATGCATTCTCAAGTAACAGCTCTGGGACACAGGCCTTCTGTCTAATCAAAGCCTACTGCCTGGACCTTTAATTCAGGAGATTCTTCCAAAAGGGTTCATGCCAGCCATCTATTCTCATAGGAAGACACGGTGCCCTCCCCAGGCCTTTGGGGGCCCTAAACAATATTCCAGTGCACCAGCACCTCTGCCCATGGAGTCTTTCAGCCATGTGCTTCTTTGTTGTTCCTTGTACAGGGACTCCAGAATGACCCTCATCCACCCCATCCTGAAGACCTTTCCAGGCAGAACTTTTATTTGTTGGTCCTCTGCTCTAATAAGTACTCAACTATATCCTGCCAGGTGGCCCAGCTTTGTGTGTCCATATGTGTTATTCATTCTACATGCAATTGAACATTCTAACCAATTTACTTACTGGTATTTCATGTTATTTTAATCTGTTATATTGTATTTCTATCCGAGTATTTTATTTTATTTTATTTTATATTTTATTCTATTTTATTCTTTTATTTCTTATGTAACATACCTTTTTTATCTAAACATCTATATTTGGCAATAGATATATAGGCGTAGCACATTTCACATTATGTGTATACCCGGGATTCGTGGTTTTAACACTATTAAGGACAATAGGCGTATCTATACTTACTTACTTTTTAGGTTGCATATTGTTATATTTTCTGGTCTTATGACTGTAGTAAAGTTATTTGACTTGATTGCTTTCTCAGAAATCCAGTCAGTGAGAATATACGTTTTCTCTATCAAAAGCAGAATAATCATGTGGGTTTTGGCATGTCTGCAACAAATTTTCCCAAACTCTTTTCTTTTCTCTCAAAAAGAATTAAAAAAAAAAGTATATAGAATTTGGATACTCAGATTAAGGAAATGAAAAGAAGCAATATTTCTTCTGAGCTTCTGGTTTTCAGGTTATAAATACTAGTATGTACAAAAAAAAAAAAATCCAAAGGAACCAGGTAAGAAATATGCTACAATAGTCTGTTTATCTCTAGGAAATAATCTAGAAATATGCATAAGAATACTTCTTATTTAGAATACAGTTTGCTGTTTAGCTTTACAATCTTTGGTATTATCTCTCTATAAGGCCAGTTGCTGGATTTGGTTTGGAACCTGTTTAGAATTACCTGGAATTTGGAGCACTGCGAGAAGTTTATATTTTCCTGAATATTTTTGTTTTGGAGATTCTTTTAAGATTGCATTTTTAACTGCTCTAGTTTTTCATATCCTCCACCACTGAATGTTTCGCATCAGACTACTTAATTAAAAAAGAGGTTTGTAACCTTTTTTTAACGAAGTTTGATTTTTTTAATACCTTTTCAGGTTAGTCTGTTTGCTAAAGGAGATGGGGGCTGATTGTAGGCTTAAAACTACAGAAGCAGGAGATGGCACTATTGAGTTTATTCTGTTACTTTCTTTACACCAAGGCTGAGGCAGCTCTTATCTCTTTCTCTCATCCACTCAAATTAGGAATAGTATCTCAGGCCAGGTGCCCTCCCAGAAGATCACAGGTGGCAGCAGGAACCAGGGTGTTCAGAGCCAAAGGCTGTTGAGGGAACCGAGGGCAGGGGGTGGGTGGGTGGGTGGGTGGGAACTGCCTGACTTCAACCCTGCAGGCTTGGCTCTAGCAGGCAAACATGCCCAGACAAGAACAATGGCTCTGCTATTTCCAGCATGACCCATTGTGGGACATCTGTGGATAAGGGCAAAAAGTGGGCCTTCTCATAAAAAAGGGGGGGAAAGTGGCCTTTAAAAAAAAACTGGATCCGGTACAGGTAGTGCTCAACTTACAACATTCATTTGGTGACTGTTCAAAGTTACAGCGGCATTGAAAAAAGGGGACTTAGGACCGCTTTTCACATTTGTAACCGTTGAGGCCTCCCCGCAGTCACGGGATCAAAGTTCAGCCACTTGGCAACTGTCTTGTATTTATGACGGTTGCGGTGTCCCAGTGGGTCACGGGATCTGGAAAGGCTAAAGTGGACAACCTGCACATATTTGCTTCTTAGGAGCGTAAAGAGAAGTTCCAAATATTATTGAATACGTTACCCCTCAAACAATAGCCCCTCCCCAATTCCTTTGTGTCTGTTGTAAGAGAGAGACTTGTTCCTTTAAGAAACTGCTCATCAAGACAGTTTGATATTTTAACTGATCTTAAAGAGAGGCACCTCAACTAAGTTGGCAGTGCCTGGCTAACTTAGTCGGGCTCAGATATTAAGCCCTGCCGGGACTGGTTAATCCTTGGACAAGAGATTTCTGGAGAATCCTGGGACTGTTGGCTCCATGAAGTTTAAAAGCAGCCCTGAAGAAGGAGGAAAAGCACTTCTGTATGCTTGCCAGAAAACATCATAGACATGGCGTCATTAGGACTCTGAGCTACTTTACCTAAAGGAGATGCAGTTCTAAGACCTTCCCAGATCTCTATGGAGGTTCTCAATTGTCCAGGTCAGGGTAGGCAACCTTGGCTCTTTTATGACTCGTGGACTTCAACTCCCAGAATTCCTGAGCCAGTGGAGTTGAAGTCCACGAGTCATAAAAGAGCCAAGGTTGCCTACTCCTGGTCCAGGTCATCGTGGTTGTCCCAAAGGTGCTTTTCCAAAAGGCTTCTTTTTTCTTTGAAAAAGTTTCACTTCTCATCCAAGAAGCTTCTTCAGTTCACTGAAAAGGAGTAGCAAAATGTTTACAAAGAAAAAACCCAAGAAAGGCCAGTTGCCTTGTGAAAAAAACCCCACCTTTGGGACCTCTACCCAGATCCGACTGCTTTGCTCCACCGAGTCTCCCCTGCTTGTCTCTAACCACTGCTTTCTCTCCCTGTGCTTCTTGCTGGTTTGCTTTGCAGAAGGCTGATCTGGCAGTCGCTCCCCTCACCATCACCCACGTCCGGGAGAAAGTGATAGACTTCTCCAAGCCCTTCATGACCCTGGGAATCAGCATTCTCTACCGAAAGGCCAACGGCACCAACCCCAGTGTCTTCTCCTTCCTGAACCCATTGTCTCCTGACATTTGGATGTACATCCTGCTTGCTTACCTGGGAGTTAGCTGTGTGCTTTTTGTGATTGCCAGGTAAGGGAACCTGCCGGGGAAAAAAAAAAAGCCTTGGATACACGGTGGGAGCTTTCCCCTCAGCCCCTCTTCCTGGATCAGCTTCTGTACCATATCAGACCCCCCTCCCTTTCTCTCTCTCTCTCACCAGAAGGGGTTTTCACTCCTATTTTACAAGGTTAGATAAGAAGAGAAGGGGTGCTGAACCACTAGTTCCCACTCTCTGGCTAGTAATACTAGGTTGCAGGTCACCCAAACCGACTTTTGGGGCTGTAGCCTCAGACAGAACTAGCGATGGGCCACTTGGTTGCCTCTGCTGCATCTGTTAAAAAGAGAGAAGCGCCACCTAGTCAGTGCGGGGTTTTCTCTTTTGCCTGACGGCAGGTGGGGAAATGGCTTCCCACCCGTCCTGCTTCCTGGGGAATGATGTTAATGGGAACTAATCGAAAGGTGGGAAACTTGCTGAGTGCAGCCTCCCTGTCAGTTTAGCAGCAGCCTTGTCCAGTTGGAGATTAGAGAGAAGAGCAGAGACTCGGGATGATTGCCTCCATCATCCTTAGTGCTGGGGTGTGTGTGTGTGATGATGCAGTGCTGGCTCCCCGGGGCCATTACAGCCTTTGGAGGTGATTACCTGAGCTTAGTGCCTAATACCCTAATTTTGTATAATGTGCTTGTCAAAATTAGCTCTGTGGGGAACAGACCAGCTCCTTGTTTGCTCTGGCAGATCTGGATTGGCTGAGTGGTTACTGCAAAGGGTGTGAGGTGACGAAAGCGTTAGAAATGTCTTTTGCCAACATGGAAAGGAGATACACCCAAAAAGTGCAAGATCCGGGCCGGCCTCCCTCCCTCTCACTCAGGGTCCCCTTGCAAAAACACAGTCCGTGGGAGGGGCACTGGTGTTTGGGTCAATGTGTGTCTCTCTCCGTCCTGAGACAATTTTGCCATTTCACTGCTCTAACCGGAGGTCTCGTGAAATGGGCTTTGGGAATCCTTGGTAGGGAAGCATGGGAATCCCCTGTCCCTCCCCTGCTGGGAACCTGCGGTGTGTGTTGGTCTTTATCTCTCATCCAGTGATGGATCCATGACTTTTAAAAGCCCCGAGGTTTAAAAGCAAGCTCACATTGCTGCTGCAGCTGCTGATTTCATGTCTTTGCCATTTTCCATACCAAGCACTTCCAGCATTATTATTTGAGAGGCCCAATAAGTTTGTTGAAGAAAGAGCTCAGGGAAGGGGAGAATCGTGGGACAGCAAAATTTGTTGGACGAGAACAAATTGGCACCATCAGGGCTAATCAAAGAAGGAAGATGTAGGAGGAATTTCTAGCGAGTCTTTTGGAAGACAAGCCAGTTGTCCTGCTTCCCTTATTGACTGGGAGCAGAGATTTCCAGGGCATCCCAAGGCTGTAGACTAGACTGGGGAGCTTAAACAAACCATTTCCACGTTGCTGCCTAGAAGACTACATGGACTATCCAGAAATTAAGTTTCACTTGAAGGAGATTTTACCTTTTATCAGTACAGTGATAGGCTGGGGATTTCTCTTCTCCGGCTTGGCCTGCTCGCCTCTTTCGTGGCTCCCAGCTTCCTTGTTTGTAGAATTTCTATCCTGATTTCCTCTGTAAATCACTGTAAATCACACTCTTTTAGTACAAATTGTTGCCAAGAAAACAACCTGGATCTATTTGCAATCACTGGGAATGAAATTTAACTTAAGGCAGGCTACAGTCCATCATGTCAAATATTTGTAAGCATTTCTGCAACAGCCACATACATGTACATTGCTTTGAATTCCATGCAGGACATAAAAATGTCCATATGAAGCATTTTATTTTTATACACATCAAAACATGTTTATGCAAAGCCCCTCCCTCTTACTCATCTGAATTGATTGGGGTCTCCTCAGAACATGCAACTTTGCGAGATAAAGGGAGAAAGACACAGGGAAATCAAACTATAAAAGCTACTTTCACAATCCATCTGCGTCTCACAGGTTTATGCTGGCTGCATGCATCAGCCGGGTTCACCAAAACATCAGTAATTTGCCGCCGTAGGTCGCTTCTCCACTGATGGTTGGGGAAGGTCAACTTCTGAATTCCACTTTTGCTCAGACCTGAATAGGGAGGCCAACCTGATTTAGGCTGCTTTTCAGATTGCCCAAGTGGTGCCCAGCCCAGGGCATTTTTCTCCTGCCCATCCGTGCCCATCCTGTCTGCAGGAGTGAGACCTCCCCTTCTTTCTACACGTAGGTTCAGCCCTTATGAATGGTATGATGCTCATCCGTGCAACCCTGGGTCAGACATCGTCGAGAACAACTTCACCCTCCTCAACAGTTTCTGGTTTGGAATGGGAGCTCTGATGCAGCAAGGTAGGTCCTCCTTCTTCCTTCCTTCCTTCCTTCCTTCCTTCCTTCCTTCCTTCCTTCCTTCCTTCCTTCCTTCCTTCCTTCCTTCCTTCCTTCCTTCCTTCCTTCCTTCCGTTTCATGTATTTCTCTGTGCACATGTTGCATGCTTGTCGATTGACAGGTGCAAGATGAATGTTGTTGTTAGGGGAAAAAAAGCCTTTGGAGCAAGAGATGTAATACAGTGTCTTCTCTCCTTCATGGTTACAAGCAGCAGCAGAGCGCCAAGGAGTTGCTGTCATCACACAATGACAAGCAAAGACGTTGCTTTTGAAATGGGGGGAGGGGGTGTCTCTAGGCAGTCTCTGAAGAGCTTGTCAGGATCAGCTTCTCCATCTCCGCCATTGGGGAGGATCTTTGGAGCAGAGGCAAGACCTCCTCCCTGATGAGCTACCCAAGGGGTTCAAGGGGTCCTCAGGAGCGAGACTCCCTCTGTTCCACGCAGGACCTGCTCCCGGGATGCTCACCAGCTCTTCCTGCCAGGGAGAAGTGGAAGTCCAGGGGCTTCCACAGGTCTAAATGGCCTGAGTTCCAGCAGGCAGTAAATTTCCCTGTGCTTGAAGCCTAACAGGGATTACTCAGGATTTGCTCTGGGTAATTTTTCATTCATGAAAAAAGAATAAAGACCCAAGGATCACATGGAGGCCTCCGATCAGGGCCAGAGTGCCCATGTGGGGAGAATAAAAAAGTCAAGGTGTCAGGTGTGTCTGCATCCTAGAAGCCCCACACTGTTGCATGCATATGTGACATTGATGTCAACGCTGCTAACATCGGATGTTCTTGCTTTGACAACAGATGGAAATGCAGCCATTTTCCTCTATTGCTGTTAGAGTTAGTTGATGCTGGGAGGGGGAATGTGGATGAGAGTCCAGCTAGTCATAACAATAATAACTCAGCCATGGGAACTCAAGGTCATTGGGCCCAGAGTTGATAGAGTTTTGACGGACTGGGGAGAAAGCCCGCACTTCAAGCTAATTGGAGAATGTGATTTATAACCGTTTATTGGAGGAGGGAATTGTACTTTGTTACTTTGTATCCAGGGGAGGGGAATTTTCTGATCATAGCGAAACTCCCTAACATTAAGGATAGGTGGACAGAGAAGCTTTTGACCCAGCGAGGCGTCATGCTCCGTTTCTATCTGGAATGCTTCCATTTGGATTCTTGCACCAAGCAGGGGGTTGAGCATGATGGGCTCAGGAGATCTTTCCATGCCTGTGAATTGTAGGCTTCAGGAGGTTCACCAGGAATCTGGCCAGCCAGCACAGAAAGGAGGCTCCTTGGATGGAGTAGACTAGGAATCAGCAAAGGGGCAGGTCCCCCAGGCTTTCAGACCTCCTATCCTGACCCCCACTGCCCCTGCCCTTTTTTAAACTTGGTTCCACCTGGAATCAGGAGCAGAAGAGATAAAACTATCCATGGATGTCCTTCTCTCTTTGGGCAAAGTCACTGTAGGCCTGTAACACGTTTTTAAATGGTATTTTCCTACACTTGGCTGCTATTTGTAGCCCAGATCATTTCTTGCTCAGAAGTCTGGATTTTTCTTTTCTTTTTTCTTTTTCTTTTTTAAAAAAGCCTGTATATTTGAAGAATGTCCTCGGAGTCAGAGGGAGCCCTTTTGAAAAGCAATCTACATAAAAGGAGTTCCTTTTTATTTTAAACGGTTGAACAAAAAGAGACATAAAACTGCACAAATGGCTTGTTATTCAAATCACATAAAAGCTGCTTAGTTAATTACTCTGATTTGCAGCTCCCCATAAATTACTGGCTGTGCCCAAGGTCAGCAGGAACGGGCTGGGGATTTCTGCCAGCAGCAGAAGGAAAAAAGAGAAACGGCAGGATGTTTTTCTTGGGGGTCGCTCAGGACGACCTGGTGCAATCGGGGTGCAGCTCAGGACTGAGAGTTGGGCCGGGGGGGGGGGAGTGGGGACTGTCCAGCCAGTGACTGCTTCCCTCCCTTTCTCCCTTCTTTCCCAGGGTCCGAGCTGATGCCCAAAGCTCTGTCCACTCGGATCATTGGGGGGATCTGGTGGTTTTTCACCCTCATCATCATCTCTTCCTACACGGCAAACTTGGCTGCCTTCTTGACGGTGGAGAGGATGGAATCCCCCATTGGCTCTGCAGACGATTTGGCCAAGCAGACCAAAATTGAGTATGGAGCAGTCAAGGACGGAGCCACCATGACCTTCTTCAAGGTGAGCTTGCAATCTTTGTGCCTCTCCTCCCTAGGAGTACCGGAGCATTTGTCGCAGCCGAATGAGCGAGCGGAGCCCCTGTGTCCACGCAGACCTGTGTCCATGCAGATCTGCTCCCTCTCTTGGCCCTCTCCTCTCTGTCCATCCCAAAAGGGGTCTATGGGGGACAGAACTGCCCCACTGCTTCCCCTCTCAGCCCCCCTCTGCTTTCCAAGGGCCCCTTCAGCGTAAGCAGGGAGTGATTTGGCCAGAGAAGCAGGCAGGGGAGCCCAGCAATAGGCAAGAGTTCCAGGGCACCTGCTGGACCCCAAGGAAGGCAGGACTATTATAGTTGGGAACATACTACAGAGGTTCATGACAAGCTGCACAAAGGTTTTTCCTTGTGGCCAAAAGGGAAATGAATCCCAAATCAGCAGCTTAAATGGCTGCAATTGCAAGATGCTCTCGTTGGATCAGAAGAACTCATTGAAAGTGCTTTTCGTTTGCTTGAGGGTGGAGAAGGATTAGAGCATCCAGTCAGGCTGTAACAAATGTGGGGATATCTTGATAAATCTTTTGTTTGGTATTTTCAAAATGCTGTGTGGCACTTCAATCAATATATGCCAGACACCTGATTAACTTCAAAAGCTGATATTGTTAACCACCTATTGTATTGATGTCGGTTTCTAATTGCTAGCAGTGTAATCTCCTCACATACAAGGTAAGGTTTACATACAGGAGTTGTGAGTTAAGGACCCCCCAAGTTACACATCATGTCTGCCTGGGATAGTTCAACCCCATCCAAGAGCAAATATAATAACCTCCTGGGATCTCTCCTAGTTGAGAGATTTACTACCTGTCGTTTTGCTTTTTGAAAAAGAAATATTCTTATGCCTGTGCCGCTTTCTAATCTTAATGATTCTTACTTCAGTGACAATTCATCAGTGGAATGGGTTGCCTCCAGAAGCTGTGGGTGCTTCATTAGGTTTATAAGGTTTATAAGAAGTGATTGGACAGTCATTTGTCTGGATTGATATAGGGGTCACTTGTTTGAGAGGATGTTGGACTAGAACAGCTCCAAGGTCCCTTTCAACTCTGTTACTCAGTAGTTCTGTTCTTCTCCTCCATCACTTGCAAACTTGGACAGGATTATGGTGGCTACCTGCTATCCAGAGCTTGTCTGCCTTAGTTACAGGTTGCCAGGCTAGCCAAGGAACGGGCCATCAGGTAATGTGTTGCTTGCTTGCCTTGAACAGTCCTGGCAAAAAGCTCTTTGAATTTTGGGTGAGTTTTCTTTGATTCCACCTGCTCAAACTCTTCTCATTCATGATTTTCATGGAACACCATCCACCACCGGAAACAGCAGAGGCACCAAAGAGCCAGGTGCATTGTAGAGGGGCAGGGAATAATCTAGCTCATGCAGAATTCTTCTGTGTAATCTGTGTAAAGGGAGAGTGTTTTTGCTTGACCCCCTTTTGACTGCTGGCCCATTTTTGAACCCAAATCTCCTCCTGTGTGACTTTTGAGATGAAGGCAAAGGCTGGGCAGGAGCTGGTCAGCAGCGCTTTTTGAATGAAGTCTACCTTATCCCTCATGCCTTGGCCTAACCCCCCTTCTTTTGTTTTCCATGGATCTGCCCTTTCAGAAGTCCAGGATCTCTACTTTTGAAAAAATGTGGGCCTTCATGAGCAGCAAACCCTCATCTCTGGTGAAGAACAACGAAGAAGGAATCCAACGTGCCCTGACTTCTGACTATGCCCTGCTGATGGAATCCACCACCATTGAGTACATCACCCAACGAAACTGCAACTTGACCCAGATCGGAGGACTGATCGATTCCAAGGGCTATGGGATTGGCACGCCCATGGGTGAGAGGGTCCGGAGAATAGCGAGAGGCTGCAAGGGCGAGAAGGGGGGCAGCCGACAAAAGCAGGTCCTGGTGGGAAATGCAGGAATTTGGGCTCTCCAGACTATGGTTGAAACCAAACTGGCTGCTACCAAGGCACATCAAGAAGGTTGATTGGCCCAAGACAAACTGCAAAGTTCGTCTTGAATCAATCTAGGATTAGGAATAATCTCAGATCATCCCATATGTCTACTGTAACAATCAACCAATAGAAGAGAATATTTTCAGCTCAGAGTTGAACTCCATAGTCCTTGGTGCTCTCTGAACTTGGTTGTTTGCTGGTAGATGTTTCATTGGCCAACTAGATAACATCAATGCGCTGATGGTGTTACCTACCGTAGTTGGGTGAGGAAATCTCTGCAAGAAAACAACCACTCTCGGAGAACGCCAGGGGCGCCAGAGGGGCCAAGCAGAACAGTAGCCTCCTGCACACACTTTGGAATCACTTCTGAAACTGCCTTTCTCAAACTCACTTATCCTGCACCAAAAATTGCAGTGATTCCTTTGAGGCGGTGAAAATTATCAGTGCAAAAAGCCCTGAACTTTATGGCTGTATCAGTTATGTCTGGCTGAAAATCCAATCGATAGAAATGTCTGCAACACGTGCGTTGCTTATCCAGCAGATCTGGCTGAAAATTCTTCCGTAGGTTTTGTGTAGAGCAATCTTCCTTTTAGCTTTGTCCTCTGGGTCTCCTGCAATGCTCCGCCCTCTGCCTCGTCCACTTACAGGTTCTCCATACCGAGACAAGATCACCATCGCCATCCTCCAGCTTCAGGAAGAGGCAAAGCTGCACGCCATGAAGGAGAAGTGGTGGCGAAGCAACGGCTGCCCGGAAGAGGAGAGCAAGGAAGCCAGCGCCCTCGGCATTCAGAACATCGGGGGGCTCTTCATCGTCCTGGCTGCTGGACTCATCCTCTCGGTCTTCGTAGCCACTGTGGAGTTCATCTACAAGCTGCGTAAGGCAGCCGAGCGGGAGCAGGTATTGGCTTCCTTCTTTTCTTCGGAAGGGGTGCCCCAAACATCTTGGCTTTGCTAACTCAGAGCCAACCCCCATGTGAATTCCATAGTGTGCATCTAACTCTCCCCCCCCTTTTTTTTTTACATTGATGTAGAGAAAATTGTCCTTCTTGGGGGGAGAATGGCTTTCTCTGCCATCTGATGAACTGATAGTTCTGTTCAGGGGTTGGGGAAGCACAGACTGTCCCAGGGACAATATTAGGTACACTGATCTGACTAACTAACTAACTAACTAACTAACGTGGGCAAAACTCTGCTTTACTTCTAAACACTCCAACACAAATCAACACATTGGCTTGCTGGCTCTATTGGAAAACACTCCCCCCCCCCAAAAAAAAAACCAGTACACAACTTCAGGGTGGGACAAAGTTGTCAGTAGGTTGGGGTTTATGTAATAAAGAAATTGGTAATCAATTAGAAGAGCCAGAGTCTTAAAGTCATAGAATCACAGACAGGTGAGCATCATCTTCCAGTTCAACCTTCTGGGATGTACAAGAAAACCACTTAGCCCATCTGGCTGTCCAGACACCTTAAAAAGAGTTGGAGATAGACTGCTCCACTCTGGTACAGAGGAGACCATCAGAAATTTCTTCCTTATATTTAAATGAAGTCTAGGGCGCTGCAACTTATCTCTTTCATTTCTGATTCTGGATGCTATGGAAATGGAAGAGGGTTTCTGACCATCTTCCCTAGGCCATCTTTGGCATATTTGAGCAAAGGTATTCTGTCTCCCCTCCATCTTTGCCAGACAGTCCCCATATCCCCTTAGTTGCCCTCCTCTGGCTGTCCTAACCCATCAGTAGCCTTCTGGAAATGGGGGGCCCAGATTCACATCAAGACCCCCTTTCCTCCCCCCCCCCAGTGTTGCATGGAGGAGGGGCTTCCTATGTCTGGCTCCCCTGCAGCCCCACGGTGCCCTACGGGTGGGCCTTTTGGGGTGCTGGGCTTGTCTGCCCCTGAGTGAGCCAAGCCCTGACTGGATGTCCTCTTCCTCTGCTTCCAGCGGTCCTTCTGCAGCGCCATGGCTGAGGAGATCCGGCTGTCCCTCACCTGCCAGCAGCGCACGAAGCACAAAGCCCAGCCTCCCCTCATGGTGAAGACCGACGCCGTCATCAACATGCACACATTCAACAACCGGCGGCTTCCCAGCAAAGACAACCTGGCCTGTAACACGGGGCTGACCCCTGCCTTCCCCTAGCCAGCAGAGGGGTGAGGACTGGGGGCGCCGAGAAGAAGGCTCCCTGAGAAGCAGCCGGCCACTGAGCAGGAGGCCTGTGGGAAGGACGGACCCGCAGTAGGTGGCCCCACTTCTGCAGCCGGGAGTCTTATTTTTCCCTTACAGGCCTCGCCACAGCCAGCCCCCCCATTCCTCACCTGGACACCTCCAAGAGTCTCGATGTTTACAGATCAAGAAAGTGGAAAAGGCAAAGCAGATGCCTCCGAGACCTCGGATCCCACCCTTCAGATTAAGTATGGCAATAAGCAAAAGGGCCTTGGGTCAGGAGATACACGGAGCCCCACATGGACCAGAGCCCACACCGAGCCCCGAGGCAGCCTCCAGAGCAGAGCGGAGGGGGGGGACAAGGGAGGGGTCCTGGGCAGAGCAACCGCTCTGGCTGGGAGGAGGACAACTGGGTCTTTTGACTCCCTGCTGGCCTGAACGATGATTCCTCAGGAAGAGCCCCCTCGGCGGGGAGGGCGATGGCAACGGCGATGCTACGGGAGCCCCCCCCTTCTTCAGACAGCAGGCGTGGGGGTCCCTCAGCTGTCAGGAGATGCCACAAGAAGGCGACAGAGCACACCACGGCAGGTCAAGATGGTCCTGCCACCCTGGAGAGGAATTCTCTTTGCTGGGCTCTGCTCAATCCGGTCGCCAGATCCAGCTGGGCAGAGTTCCCAGGAAAGAAACATGCCAACATCTGCAAATGGGAAGCAATGACAATGTGAATGGGGTGTGTGTGTGAACGGGGGATCAAGTTGGGCATTTGAGAGCTGTAGGACCTAGTGACATTCCATACATGTGAATGGACACCCCCCCCATGCTGGCAGCAGTGGCAGGGCATGTGGCTGAAACAAGTGTATGGATGCCCCTGGTTGGCCACTCTGGTACAGTTCCTCAAAAGTGCCATGGTGCCCAAGGATACGCTTCCAAGGAAGGTCCCAGGCAATTTCCAATATTTAAGGGGCTGTCACAGGAAAGAGGGGGTCAACCTATTCTCCAAAGCACCTGAGGGCAGGGCAAGAAGTAACGCATGGAAACTGATCAAGGGGATCCAGCCTAGACTTAAGTCTTGAGTTGCCAGAAGGATTCTTCTCCCTGTTGTTCCCAGTTGAACTGATTCCAAAGCTTGGCCTTGACCGGGCGCCATAGACAGCACATGGTTTGCATTTTTCTTCCAAGCAGAGTTTTTCTCTCCTAATGACCAAAGACCACCACCACCTGCCATTTGGAAGGAGCCAGGGGTGGGGCTGCTCTTTCCCACCCTCCTCTTTGTCGGATTGCCAGGTGGGGATGCTGGGCCACCCGCTGGCCTGGGAAGTGACCGGTAGACAAAAGGCTGATTGCGTGTAGCAGCTGCCAGAGCCAGCTGAAGATGGAGTCCCATTTTTATTCGGCATCAGCATCCAGCATCAGCATCTCTGGCTAAGCTTACCGCGTTTCTGGAACTGGTACCCTTCCAAGCTGAAAGAAGTTCAAGAAAAGCAAGCATGGGAAGGCGTAGCTTCTGTCCATCATTCGGAGTCCTCGCATCAGTGGATGGCCAGAGTGCAAGAGGGAGAAGGGTGTTTCAAGGCTGTCCTCTAAAGTGCCTTTTGAGATCTGTCCCCTTGGCCCCCTCCGTGACCTGCTGCTGGCCATCCAGCCATTTCACAAGGTCACCCGAGAGGTCTGGGGCCAGCAGGTTCAGTGGCCCATTAGCAGCCGAAGCAGAGCTTAGCCTGGAGACGCATCGAACGTTCTGTGGAGTCCTTGATATTCTCTGAGCTTGTTTGTTTGCTTGCAGACGTTTCATTGCCCTTCTAGGTAGCGTCATCAGTGCTAGTGAGTGTGGGGTTGGCTCTCGGTTGACGTTCAGCAGCTTGCCGAGTAACACCAAGAGTTCTTGATCCTTTCCCTGCTCCTCCAAGCAAAGGCCTAGCACGCAAGGCTGCAACGAGAAAGACAAATACGTTGTGACCCAGGGGTTGAAGTGAGGGGACTGAGCTGGGTCCAACTTCTTTGGGAAACAACAGGCTGGAGGAGAATTTGAACATAACTGCAGCTCAGGAAAGGATTTCAGGGGCCCCCTCCCCATCTCATTTCAGCCCCAAGCAGCTGTTTTGTGATGAGAAGCTGTTGAAGAAAATATTCTCAGCCTCTTCCTATCTTGAGTTACCCATATCAGCAGTGACAGCAGGAGGTAGTAAAAAGGAGCCCAGAGAGTTTGGGAATATTTCTCAAGGTGTTCAGTCACATCCTGAAAGGGAGGATGTGTGACTAGGAGAACATTACATCTTTTGGCTCTTTTCAAACAGGGCCTCTTGGGGCCTTGGAAAAAAAAGAGATTGGAAAGGGGGCTTCTCGATCCTCTTAGGAGGGTCTTAAGGCCAAAGAGGAGATGAGGGATGCCCCTTCACTCAATCCAACCTCCCTGTAGAGTTCTTTTTGTACAGCACTGAGTGTGGTGATAAGCAAAGCCAGTTTTGTATATCCATTTCATTTACTCATTTTTAATTATCAATTTGTTTCTCCCACTCCAAGAAACAGTCACGGTTTAGTTACATCAGAAAGAAGCTGTTTTAGTTATCACATAATCCTTTCAAACATCAGGCGTTCCTCTCTTCGTTTTGCATTTTGGTTTGGCCAAGTTAACGTTAGTCTGGAAGAGTTCCCTTAATCTGATCTCTGAAATGTAGGTGTAGTGGACTCCTTCCCTTTTCGGTTCTAAGCACGACAGCAAGCTCTTTTATTCCTTCCTGCTGTCTTTCATCCTTCCCAACCAGTCTGCTCATGCAAGTCTTTTCAGTTTGGGTGTAACGATGAAGAGGAGGCTTCCAAAGGCTGAACTTGGAGGAAAGGCCATCGAAGGAGGTCACCTGCCCACCGAGGGAGACCAGCCATCTGGCTGAGGGCAAACTGCCAGGTCTGAATCAGCAACCAGTTCTGTTTTTTCAGCTTTCTGAGAAGAAGGACTAAAAGGAAACACAAGGTGCACCTGAAGACCATGTTTTGATCCTACGCAAAGTGTTGCTGGCTGAATGTGCATAGAGAGCCGTGGAGCTGGTTAAGGTGGCTGTTCCTCCAACAGAGCACAGCCGAGACCCAGGCCAGGGCAGCGCCCTGGAAGTGTGAGATGGCCCCTCTGCTGCCCTGGCAGCCAGCAAATGCTGACCCAGCAGACCAGATGTACAAGGTCCTCCATCACCTTCAACATCTTGGCTGGGAGAAGACTTTGGCTTTGGGCATTGAGCTGTTGGTCTACCACAAAAGTCGCTGTACAAGCCAGTTGCAAAAGCGCACATGCTCAAACACAACCACGAGACTCATTCTTTATCCTTAGTAGGGTTTCTTTGGCTCTTGAACAATATCGTTGCAGAAAAAGAGTCTGTTTGCAGTGACTTTGGGGGGTGGCAAGTGAACTGCCCTTTCGCCCTCTCGCTCTCTCGCTCTCTCTCTGGACTGATTTCCTAACAACAGCCACAGAACTGGTCTCTGTGACATTCAGGGGAAAAATTCCTTTGTGGACATGCAGAAATTTCTATAAATTTAGTTTTTTGTAAACATTTTGTAAGAATTTTGGTTTCATAGTAACTGTGTTACTTGCAGATCATTCTAGGCAGATGTAAATAGAATTTCCAAAAAAAAAAAGAACTATTTAAAGTTTTAAAACAAACAAAAATGATTATTTTCCTTTTTAAGACACTGTGATATATCAAGTGCACAGTTTTGCTGTATGCGGTAACATTGTTTAAATTTTAAATAAAACATTTCTACAAAAGAAACCTCCAAACATTTTGCATCTTTTAATTTAAAAAAAAAAAAAGCTTAAAAGAAGCCACAATGTCTTCAAGAGAAACAGCTCAATTCCTTTATGTGCCAAATATATATATATATATATGCCACCAATAATGAAAAATCACAACGGGAACTTAGATGAGATGTGAGAAGAAATATAAAAGGAATAGAAGCAGAATCAGGAAATTGGCAAACATTTTCTTTGCAATCAGAGGAGATTTAAACACCATTAAAGGAACAAAATTCTCATTTTAATGAAGTGTCAAAAGGGCCAGATTCTTCCTCTTTCAAAGGAGCTGGTTATTTGCAAGGGACTAAGGAGAGACAGTTTGGTGTAGTGGTTAAGGCATCAAGCATGGAACTATAAGACCGTGAGTTCCTGTCCCTAAGCCAGCCACTCTCTTCTAGCCCTGGAAGGCAGGTAATGGCAAACCATTTGCCAAGGAAATTGCAGGGACTTGTCCAAGCCATCAACAGGAGTGAAGGCTAACTGGGAAGTACCAAAACAGCAACAACAACAACAAAACCCTGTACAACCACATGGAATATGCACGTACGTTTGGTATAACAACCCTTTTTATAATAAATATGTAAATAAATAATCTTAATTTCCACCTCCCTAAGGAGCTATCTGAAAATAAAAAGATTGGAACACTAAGCATTGCTTGGTTTCTCTAAGCATACAAACAGGCTAATTCTGGCATTAGCATAATTGCATATCGTCTATGAAGTTGTGAATTTTATCCAAAATCCCCCCCCCCAAAAAAACTTTAACACCCCCCCCCCACACACACACACACACAAATCCTTTAAAAGTTCCAATTCTTTTGAGTTTAATTTTTGTAGGGATCGACTTCAGGATTATTTCTGGGGAGCTTTGTATCTTGAAAATCATTCCGCAAATATCGTAAACCAGGAAATAACTTACTGGGATCGTCTACCAAAAGTGAGGTCCTTTCAAAACTGGACATTATTTTGAGATTCTCCAATCCATTGTGTGTCCCTGTGAGAGGCTGAACCTAAAGATCTCACTGCAGTGGACTATTTTTGAGAACCAGTGGAAACCTTGAGCTGTGATGAGAACCAGTAGCCACATCTTGAAGATGGCCTCTGGAGAAAGAATGACTTCTCTGCACGAGAGGACTATCCACTGCCATTTAGAGGGCAGAAACAAGTTTTCTCCGTTGTTTCAAGTGCAAGGT